GGGCCAGTCGGGCCACTCGGGGGCGCCACAGTCGACGAAAGTGAGAGCGACGTCAACGGCAGCGGCGGCAGCAGCAGCCGCTTCTACAGCGCACGCGGAGCAGAAGCACACAGCAGACAACAAGCCAGGAGAGAAGACCGTTTTGCTGCTTCGCTCGCACTGCCCGCCGCCATCTCAGAGAACGAACACAACAGAAGCTGCTGCAGCCGCCGCCGCCGCCGCTCTCGCTGCTGTTCACACGAGCCACTCTTTCATCAACAATGCCGATGCCCAGCTGAATTCTACATCTACATCAAACCCACCATCAACTCAACCGAAGAGTCGCAGTCGGAAGAAGGCCACCCCGGTAAAGAGCCCCGGTAGCGCTGGCGACCAGAAGAAGAAGAAGGACCGACCTACACCACCGTTTGCCGCGCTTTCTGAGGCTGAGCAACAGCAGCAGCCGGCGAGGGCAGCCACTCCACTTTCTCCTCCACCTCAAAAGCCATCTACACCGCCAATCGCTGAAAGTGGTAAAGGAAAATCGACCCTAACGCCTGATGGTAGGCGGAAGAAGAGGACAAAGACTCGCAAAGGGCCGACATCGCCTTTGTCAGTGCATGGTTCCTCTGTGGACGAGTCGAGTGACGCCGACGACGAGTTTGACCCTGACGATGAGGTGCTGGGCAATGCTGATGTAAACAACGCGAGTTACTCATCTGTTCTAACAACGACACTGCCAAAACAACAACAACAACGCTGTGATTTACGTGAAATGGCCAGAGCACCTGTGAAACCCATTCGCATCAACGGTTTGCATAAATCTGTTGAGGAGAGAGTAAAGGCAAAGAATACTAGCCGCCTGGCAGCAAAACATGGCAAAGCAGTTCAACTGGATTCCATAGCGGCGGCGGTCATCAATGGCGCCCCAAAGATTCGAGCTTCAAAGAAAAAGCAAGCAGCAGTCCCAGTACAGGCGAATGGAAAGCAACAGCAGCCGCTACCGCCGCCGCCGCCGCCGCCGCCGCCGCCGCCGCCGCAGCCATCCAGTGCTCCTGCTGTAAGTAATGGCAAAGCAAAGGTGGCCACCAAAACGCCGCGAAAGCGACGACGGACTATTAACAAGACCGGCTTTGACAAACCTCGAAAGCGCAACAGGCTTGCTCCCTCAACTAAGAAGCGAGGCCGACCACCACTGGCAAGCACTAGTGCTCCAGTTGAGGCTGTATCCAGAGCACGCAAACCCTCGCCAAAGCCAAATGGTGTCAATGGTCACACTAGTCAAAGTGAAGCAAACGATAATACTAAAACCAACAATATCGTCAACAACAGCAAAAGCGAGCCTAGAATGAGAAGAAAAGCAACGAAAGTAACACGGAAGGCAACTACGTCGGCTCCTGTGGTCAGCTCAGACTCTTGTTCAACTGAAGTGGATGATGATGCTCCTGACTCAAAAAAAGGCAAATTGAAGTCTCAACGACTAGCAAAGGGAAAACTGCCAAATCGATCTCATAAAAAGGCTAACAAAATCTCTGACAACAGTGATTCCGATAAGCGACCAGTGCCTAGTTCAACTAGCTCATCCAGTACTTCTTCATCAAGTGAAGAAGATAGCGAAAGCAGTGCATCATCTGTTGACAACTTCCCCGTTTTTATGGTGACTAAACCTTCAGTGAGCAAAGCGACGAAACTTGCTAAAAAGAACAAAGTGGAAAAGATCAAATCCAATCCATTCACTCGACCGATTCCTGAAAAGAAGTACTACAAAACCGCAGTGTACACCAAAGAGTTTGCCAAACTTTACTCTGAAGAAAGTGAAACTTTAAAAACTGCTTTCACTAAGACCAGTACTACTACTACGGCACCAAACACAGCGGCACCAGAAGTGCCTGAACAGCTAGCACAAAAGTTGCCTATACTACCATTGCCCAGCTTCTACAAATCGCCAAACCAAACATCTACCTCCTCATCTTCCTCCGCCTCATCATCCTCACAGGAAGATGAAGGTTCACTGAGCAGTGGCTCTGGCGGTAGCAGCAAGAGGCGGTCTTTGCGCAACAAAAAGTCCAAATCGTCATCAGCTTCTAGCGCTGAAGACGGCGTCCTTCAGTGTCTTAAGTCGTCACCATCAGGATTCACCCTCGGCTATGACATTTGGTTTCAGTACAAGTACAATCCACTGCCATCGGCTATGAGCTCTGCCAACTATCGCCGAGTCCGCCAAAATGTCTTTTGTGATACGAAGCCGGTGTCGAATATCTCCAGTCAGTACTGCAACTGCAGCGTGCCGGAGAACAATGACGGCTCCACTGGCTGTGGCGCCAACTGCATCAACCGTCTGATGTACCAGGAGTGCTGGCAGAAGACCGGAACGATGCTGCATGGTCACAAGTGCACTAACCAGCGGATCCAGAGGTACGAGTGGAGCCCCGGGCTGGAGCGCTTCATGACTGCCAAGCGCGGCTGGGGCATTCGCACCACTGAGCTGATTCGCAGTGGCGAGTTCATCCTCGAGTACATTGGCGAAATAGTCTCGGACCAGCTGTTTGAGCGGCGAATGACGGAGCGGTACAGCAGCGACCACCACCACTACTCCATGGTCATCGACAACGGCATGGTCATTGACGGGTACCGCGTGGCGAATGAAGGTCGCTTTGTGAACCACTCCTGTGAGCCCAACTGCGAGATACAGAAGTGGTCCGTCAATGGCTACTACCGAATGTGCATGTTCGCCCTGAGAAACATCGAGCCGAATGAGGAGCTCTTCTACGACTACAACTTTGTCAACTTTAACCGAGACTCGCAGCAGGCCTGTCACTGTGGCTCGAGCAAGTGCCGCGGCATTATCGGCGGCAAGCGCGCCAATGTCATCGGCTCGGGGTCGCCGGTGATTGACGCCGACGCAATTCAGCCCGCTGACATTGCCAAGGAGTCGCAGAATCCGGCGGAGAAGTACCTCACCAAGGTGTTGCCCTTCCTCTGCGCAAAGGAGCCCACCTGGATCGAGACACTGCCCCAGGTGAAGACTCACCCGCAGATTGAACACGATGAGACCAGCTGGATATTCGTCAACTGCAAGACGGCCAAGGTCAAGGTGCCAGTTTCGCAGTATAAGAGCAACATTCTCGGCATCAAGCCCTGCAGCACGCTGAACGCTGCGCTAAAGGAGGCGAGCTCATCGGCGCAGAATTCAGCCAGTAATGGTGGCGACGAACAAGTGGTGGAGCTATCTTACGATCCGAACATGTTGAAGGCGTTTAAAAAGCTGAAACCACTATACACGAAGAGTGACGACAGTTACGAAAAGGGGCCGACTTTTCTGATGCGTAACTACCGAAACATGCGCCGCTACTATACCGGCTTGAGTGAAGCGGTCCCCAGTTCAGGCAAGGGAGGCGGCGGAGGAGTGATATGCCTTGACCAGAATCAGAATCCCTATGCAAAGGCCAAGGCAGTCAGCTATCGCAGCTGCTCATCGAACAACTCGAGCGACTCTGAAACCAGCGAGAAGAGTCAGGGGAGAAGGCGGTCGTCGATAGTGAAGGGGCCGGCGAAAAATCAAGTGAAGGACAGCGCAGAGATGGTCAGTCGGATGGTTCAGCAGGCGAAGGCTTTTGCCGAAATATGTCTGAAGGCGTCCAGCTTTATGAAGAACAAACTCGTATTGCTCCTCTCCAACGGTAAGTTTTTGCCTTTTCTAATCACGTACTTTTCATTTTTAAATGCTAATTGTGTACAACTTTATAATTTACAGCTGAAAACGGTGATTTGCCAGGCACTACCACCAATGGCCACGCCGATGACGTCCACCTCAAAGGGACTGGCGGAAAGCGCAAGTTTAGCCAGATGAGCGGTGAAAACTGCGTCAGTGATGGGCTCTTTGATTTCAGCTTGATCCTCGAGAAGATAAAATTGCGTAGACTGACTAATGTGGACAAGTTTGTTGGGGAAATGAAGAGCTACATTTGCCAGATTCTAAAGACAGAGCCACCAATGATCGACTCGAAAAAGAGCAAACTCTCAAAGGTCAATGGCAGTGCAAAAGAAACATCAGTCGAGGAAAATTCTCCTGCGTTCGGTTCTCTACTTACTGGTGAGCAAATCAAAACACTACAGGAAGATACATTTGCATTTTTAGACTCGGAAATTGAGCAAAAGAAGCACATCATGGAAAAGAGCCTAAACTGGTCGGCCTTAATTGAACAGATGAACGCTTTGGCAAACAGTAATTCCCCTCACTTAGATGTGGGTAATCGAAGGAGATTGTCCATATTCTCAAAGAAATTGCGTGACGCCCAGCTACAAGCTGTTTTCCCAACCATCGAAGCCGACAGATCTTCCAAATTCAATTTGATTGCAGAAGTTGAAGAAGTCGTCAAAGAGATGCCCTTTGATCAGCAGAATGAGGTCGATTCGATACCGGTCGCTGTAGTGCCTGTCAAAAAGACTGACCACGAGGAGGATACGATTCGCTGCATCTGTGGCATTTTGCGCGAAGAAGGCGACATGATTCAGTGCGACAGCTGCAAGGTAAGATTTCGATCGAAAACAGTAATGTCATTAAATTGTACAATGGTTTTGTATTACAGATATGGCAACACCTCGAATGTGTGGGCCAGTTCTGCACCATTGATCGGGGCTCAGAGTATCATTGCGAGATCTGTCAGCCACGTAAGGTTTCATTGGTAAGTTGTGTTTTGAAAAGGTGGTTTTGGTAGATTTATTTTCAACTTGTTCCTTTTGCAGAACGTTCCACTGCCCGAATCAAAATGGCCAGACTTTGACCTAAACAAGCACTACAAAGTCAAGTACTATGTTTCACTGGAGTCACCCGTAAAGAAGGGAGAGCAGATTAAAGTAGGTGACTGCGTGTACATTTGCCGGCAGTCAATTGCTGGTGCAAAGACGATGAACCCAACGAAGAAGAGCTCGCCTGCTAAAGGCAAACCACCCGGCTCCAGTGTCACTGCAGCGCAGCTTTCCGTAGCTGAGGCGGCAGAGATCAGCAAGACGTTCCTTGAAACACTCAAAGAGGAGGCCGCTTTGGCGTTGAAAACCAAAAACCAACACTTTGAACGGAAGGAGTGTATCATCATTCGCGTACAGCATCTGGCCGTTGTTGAGGCGACTAAGCAGCTCATCCTTTACGGCCACCACTACCTGTGGCCGAGGGAGACGTACCACGAACCGACGCGAAAGTTCTTTCACAACGAAGTGCTCAGGTCGCCTAATAACGAGTGGGCTGCATTGGAGGAGGTGCGCGGCACCTGTGCCGTACTCGACCGGAGCACCTTCTTCAAGGGCAAGCCAATTGGCTTTGCTCCAGAGGACATCTTTGTCTGCGAGTTTCGCGTAGACCGACAGGCCAAAGCATTCTCTCGTATTGGAAAGGCAGGAAACGGCGTTCAAGTCAGCACCAAGAGCTATGCTTTCGAGATGTATGAAACGCCACTGTCTGTCAAGCGAACTTATTCGGTAAGGGAGCTAAACGCAATTTGTGTTGAATCAAACTTAACGTTATTTTTCCTTTCTCCACAGCCTCATGACATTCCGGAGACGTATGTCAATAAGAAACAAAAAACAACCAAAAAGGGTAAAAAATCAGAAACAGACAAAGACTCCACCACTACTGTTGACCAAAGTCAAGAGGAAACTGCAGAGAATGCTCAATTGGAAAAGGTACGAGTATCAGCTGCAGTAGGTGCTTTGTTATCATTTACGTCTAACTAATTTGCTTTTGATTCAACTAGATAAACAAAGAAAAACTCGCAACGCTCAACAGCCTTGTAAATCAGCTGAATAACTGTGCCTACTTTTGGTATCTCCTTTTGGACCAGGAGCAGAAGAAACTTAAGCAAGCCGTATAAGCAACAACTCGGGAAAGAAAAAAACCCTTTTACTTGGACAGTTTTTATCATCCTTGTATAAACTAGCTTTTATTGGTAATTTCGATGTATGCGCGTGCTTATGACCAGTCTTTTCAGCGTATTTTGTACTTTCAGTTATTGCCTACTGCAGGAATTACAATATTTTTAATTATTTTAGAGTTGACTTTTCTCCATTCACTCCTTTTAGTTCAATGTTTTCTATCTGATTTCAGTCAGCCCAGCCCCTTCCCCAAATAGATGCTGTGATTGCACACACCATCCCCACCTTCTGTACATTGCGCTCACCCCAACACACAAACATACACAGACAACACACAGACGTTCTGTTATTTTTGCTAATCTACAACTTTGTTTTATACACCACATCGCTTTTAAACCCATTTCGACTGACTGTTTCACACGACTGATTATTCTCTGATTTCACCTTGTGTACATTACACTGCAGTACAAACAAATTGCAAACAATACAAATGAAAATACACGTCTATTTTGCTTATGAAAACCATCACAGTGCATAATTTAGACTCTTGCCATCGACGCTTCGCGTGAAGGTGATCTTCAGCTGTTTGTCGTCGTCACTTGCCGATGGCAGCCAGTGTTTGCCGAGAAAGGCAACTCCCTGGTGCGCCTGTCGGCTCCAGGGAATCTCCTCCTGCAGTGACCAGGGTGCACTGCTTTGAGGACCGGTTGAGAGGGTGATCTGTCCGGCGTCGTCCAGTGTGTGCTCAGTCCACACGACAATGGCCACCTTTTCTGGCCACCGTGGGGCGGAAAACTTCTCCTCCAGATGAGAAAGATCAATGGCGACTGTTTTGGTGAGTGTCTGTTGCTGGCTGAAGTTGTCTGCGGTAAACGTAAACAGATCAAGAGGGCTTTGGAGCAGTGGCTTGCAGGAGTACTCCCAGACTTGCTGTGGTTCAATTGGCCAGTCGGCCTGTTTACGGGCGCTCTGAATGAGCTGATCGTAGGGCTTCAAGTCGAAGCCCTCCACGTCGGCTCCCACATCAGCAAAGCTTCGCCAGAACTCCCTGAACTCCACCAGCAGGCACTTGATGCTGATTCGATTTGGAATTGACAGCAGCTTGGAAGAATGAGCGTGCTCCAGCAGCAGTTGGTAGTAGGAGCGCAGGCACTCAAAATACTCCATTGAAGGGAACAAACAGTCAAAGTTTTTAAAGTACAACTCTGACACGATACCGTGCAGTTTAAGGTCGTATTTAGAATCGAAAAATTCTCCGAAATCGGCAGCTTTAAGAAGTGTCACTTTGGAGACAATGTGCTCGTTTTTTGCAAGAAATTTCTTGAAAAACGACTGGCTTTGTTTGCTCTGGCAGTGCAGGTAAATCTGGCCAACTGATTTGTGCGCAGCCAAGAGCAGTGGAATGAGGCTTTCGTCTCCAAAGTAGACCAAGTTGAGCTTGGACTGTCCCCTAAAATGAACTTCCAATTGGCTGGTCAGTGCGTTCAAGTAAGCAGAGTGAACCTGTTCGTCGTTGATTGAGAGCATTCGAGAGCGACTGAGATGAGTGTGCAAGCCGCAGTTACATGACCAAGAGTCAGTATTGATTTCAAGAGGGGCAATGACCTTCTGGTTGGCGGGCAAATCGTACCAGAAGGAGAATGAATCGTGAAAGGCATCAATATGAATACACTTGCTGGCGTTGATCTCCTCGTGTTTGAAGCCCTCGAGATCGTTGTCGACAAAAGCAAATGCGGGCAGGTAGTAGATGGTCTGAATCCAGTGATCACGCCAGGCAATGCTCTCTTCGCTTGGCTTTCCCTGCACCCAGTACGGAGCACAGCTCAGTGTGATTTCCCCTTCCTGGTCCATGTCAATGTCCCACCAAGAGAAGATCAGGATGGGCTCGGTGAATTGCTTTAGTAAGGGAATATTAAGGCGTTTGCAGTTTTTTAGCTTCAGTGATTCGAGGTTGTTGAACTCAAAGTCAAACACCATCAGCGGATCTGAGAGAATCTGAAAATCTTTGCCCGGTTTTAGGCGACTCATTTGAACGTCATGGAGAATGTGCGATCCTAAGCAGTTGTTCACCGCGTTGGGCGTGTCTAGGTGCACAGTCGAGCCTTCGACAGTGTACTGCTTGCGATAGTGGTGAAAGCGAAACAACTGCTCCGATTGCACCAGTTGAATGTTGACTCGCGCTCGTGATGGAACAAAGAGAGCATCATCGCTCACTAAACGTTTAACCGCATCTCGGTAAGCAAAGAGGCAGCCTTCTCCGATCAGTTCAGTGTCCAGCAGCTCGGCTACCACCAAATTTGGCTTTGAGTCTTTCTCATCAAGAGTCAGGTTATTTGATTGCTTCGGCACAATCGTTATCTTCTCGCCTACGCCGTTTTTGTCGATGATTTTTCGCGCACATTCGGCTATCGGTTTGAAGGTGTCACATGCTGAATAGCAAAAAAAAGTTAGAAAAAATAAATACCAAATTGGAAACAAACATACCAATCACTTTGTCGGCTCCAGCTCTAACTGCCATCATGGAGAGCAAACCAGTTCCGCAGCCAATGTCTAGAGCGTAAACTTCTTTCACATTTTTCTCGCGAAGTTGTTTGACAGACTTTTTGATTCCTTCGTAGAAAAGGCGGTTCCTCTCAAAGTCGTTGACCATATCGCCAAACGAGGCGCGAGCAATGCTTTGTTCATAGTCGTTGATTTCTCCTTCCAAATCTTCCTTATCGATGTAGTCATCTAAAGAGCCCAAAGCATCAAAGTCTCCCATTTTCGGGTGAAGTGCTAAAATCAGAGAAATTGGCAGTTTTTTCAAAACAAGAGCCCACGTGATATGACGTCGGTTCCACAGACGACGTGATAGGTAAACATCTGATTTTCACCGGCAAGTGCACAACTTTGTTCTTTAGTTGTCCTTTTTTTTAATTTTTGTTTCTTACATCATCATCGATTGATCCCCCACCAAAATGAGATTATTGGTGTCTAAATTTCGACCAAACAAGCTTGAACTACTGAGCAGTTTTCCGTGGAAGTCGCTGCACAGTCACCTCGACTCTCAGCATCCGAAGTACTTATTCCAACTTGTTTCGCGATTCGCTACACAGGCACCTAAAGATAAAAATCAAATCAATGCTGAAGAAAAGGAGCACATCAACATTGGCACTATAGGTCATGTGGATCACGGAAAAACGACGCTAACCTCTGCTCTGACGAGGGTCAGTGCCTCACTGGGACTGGCCAAGTACAGAGATTTCGAGTCCATTGACAAGGCGCCCGAAGAGCAGCTACGCGGTGTCACCATTAATGCCAGCCATGTGGAGTACTTTACGAAGAAGCGGCACTACGCCCACACCGACTGTCCGGGACATCAGGATTACGTGAAAAACATGATCTGCGGGACATCACAGATGGATGGAGCCATTCTAGTTGTGGCGGCCAGTGAAGGGCAAATGCCCCAAACGCGAGAGCATCTGATGTTGAGCAAGCAAGTAGGCGTCGATAAGGTGGTCGTCTACGTGAACAAGTGTGACCTAGTAGACGATGAAATCAAGGAGTTGGTGGAGATGGAGATTCGAGATCTGCTCACTACGCTCAACTTTGACGGCGACAATACTCCTTTTGTCTTTGGATCTGCGCTCTTGGCACTGAGCGAAAAAGAGAGCGAACCGTCAGAGAATGGAATCAAGTCAATCACCACTCTGCTGGACACTCTGGACAACTACATTACTGTGCCTGAGCGAGACCTGTCGTCGTCATTTTCAATGTCAATTGAAAGTAGTATTTCGATTCAGGGCAGAGGAACTGTGGTCATTGGAACGCTGAACAGTGGTGAGGTGAAGAAGGGCGACCAGGCGGAGATACTTGGCTGGGGCAAGAAGCTCAAGACGGTCGTCAGTGACATTCAAATGTTCGGTAAGTGTTTTTGAATTTTGTTGTTCAGAATCCTAAATATTTTCTGTTAGGTCGAGGAGTGCCCAAGTGCCGAGCAGGAGATCACGTGGGACTGCTGTGTCGCGGCATCAAACAGGCCACTCTGGAGCGAGGCATGCTGATCTGTCAGCCTGGTTCACTTAATCTGGAGAATCGATTTGTCGCCGATTTGTACTTGCGCTCCAAAGAGGAGGGTGGTCGCCCGAAGCCCATCTCCAACAAGTTCATACAGCAAATCTTTTCGCAAACCTGGTCCGGTGGCTCTCGTATTGACGTGCCCGATGAGTTTGGCGGCATTCTGATGCCCGGTGATCACGGCAAAGTGCACGTGACGCTGCAGTTTGGAATGCCCCTCAAAATTGGCCAAAAGTTCACCATTCGCGAGAACAACAAGACTATTGCGTCGGGAATCATCACCGAGTTCTTGCCCAAGCTGGGCGAAAGCGCCATCAGCAACCTTGGTCTGCTTGACTTGCCATATGGCAAACTGACGGACGCAAAAAAGTAACTGGCGGTCAAGTGTCGCTGTAGTATTTTACTCTTTAACAACAGTCATATTGTACAGAACTCATTTGGGGTTTAGCAAACGGAAAAACTTGTAGTTTGACCATTCATTTGTTCGAGGCAGCTCCCAAGCGAACGTTACTGTTGACCGGAGGGTAACTCGGGGCAGCATTGCTCCAGTAGACATTTGGTAGAACCGGGCGATTACCACGAAAACGAATGAATTCTTTGATGTCTTCTTTGAAGTGCACGAACAAGATGACCAGTAAGTAGATCAGCAGGAGGAGCAGAACACCTACGAGGAAGTGCTTTTTTTTGGTGTTGTCGCGTAGAAGGCAGAAAACAGAATGAGAGCTGCCGGTGTGAGGAGTGCAGAGATAGAGGTGGGCTGCAGGAAAGAGCTAAAATGTTCGTGTATCATATTTCACCACAGTCTAAACTGAAAGTTGCTNGTAGAACCGGGCGATTACCACGAAAACGAATGAATTCTTTGATGTCTTCTTTGAAGTGCACGAACAAGATGACCAGTAAGTAGATCAGCAGGAGGAGCAGAACACCTACGAGGAAGTGCATTTTTTTGGTGTTGTCGCGTAGAAGGCAGAAAACAGAATGAGAGCTGCCGGTGTGAGGAGTGCAGAGATAGAGGTGGGCTGCAGGAAAGAGCTAAAATGTTCGTGTATCATATTTCACCACAGTCTAAACTGAAAGTTGCTCACAAAAAACGATCATTATTCCCTCGTCACTTTCCAGCAAAAGTACAATAGTTGTAAAAAGTACTTTAATCTTTAAAGCTGGCACTTTACAAATGAAGCATAGTAGATCTGTGAGTATGCTTTGAGTGCACCTTCATGTCAGCTTTACATTTGGCGGCAATCTGATCACTTCTGAGGAAGTCATGCGGGCTGCCTTGCTGCTAAGGGCAGGTGGTTTGTTGCGACTTTGACTGTTTCGGTTGTGGCNTACAAAAAACGATCGTCATTACCTCATCACTTTCCAGCGAAAGGACAATAGTTGTAAAAAGTACTTTAATCTTTAAAGCTAGCACTTTACAAATGAAGCATAGTAGATCTTTGAGTGCACCTTCATGTCAGCTTTACATTTGGCGGCAATCTGATCACTTCTGAGGAAGTCATGCGGGCTGCCTTGCTGCTAAGGGCAGGTGGTTTGTTGCGACTTTGACTGTTTCGGTTGTGGCGAGAGCTGCCTCCACCGTGACGATGACTTTGTCGGTGGTGCTTCCCTTTGGACGGATTGTTGACAGTCTTCCTCTGAGAAACTCGCTTTTTGCTTCGCTCCTTCCGCACAGTGTTGTTCTCACTGCTGCGATCTCGGCAGAAGAAGAAGTAAACTCCAACTGCAACCACCAGCAGGACCACCAGTATGACAACAGCAATAACTATCAAAGGGTACACTGCAAAG